GAGTGTAGAGAGGTAACCATGGCCTGGACTGTAGAAGTAGCAACAGAGATGGAGAGAAAGCAGCCACGTTCAAGAGGAATATGACTTTCTTAGGTTTGGAAAGATGACTTTGTCAATAGTTGGACGGGCAGTACAGTACACCTGTGGATTTGTGAGAGTTTCACATTTTCATTAGCTGGTTGAATTGTAGGTTTTCCATGACAGTATTAAATTGGCTGGGGATTAGGCTGAACATAATTGTTTTATGGCTACATGTATCCCATTGTAATAAATAATGACCACGTATCAGTCTGCCAAGTGCTTGATTTAAGAGTAGAAGGCCACAGGGAACTTTTTTGAGCCTACAGATTTGGTGACTAAACTAAAGATAACGGAATGGGACTTTAAACTCTTGTGGCCCTTCAGAATGTTCTGGGTCCCCCAACCGGCTTGCTCACTACAGTTTAGATAATCCCTTAAATCTGTTAGAGTTTATACAAGTGGACTCCGGAACTGCATTCTTGGATTGATGAATGGGATGAATAGCCAGGTTTAGACGCTCTGCAATGCAGCGGAAGAATTCCAACTGATGTGGGGGCAAAGACTCTGGACTGAGTGTGTTGTAATGAAGGTGGTCTCCTGGAGAAGCAGCCTTGCAAAATTGAATTTGAGCCTGGGAAGCTGGAATTAAATATGTTAGGGATGTGCATCCAACAGAAGGTTTATACTGAGCATCGATTGATAGGATGGCCTACGGATGTACGAGAGGTAATAAATGGCAGCACCATAAGGCCCCGGGCTTACAGTGCTGCCATTTATTACCTCTGTCTCCCAAGCCAGTCACTTATGCCCTCGGAGCCTCAGTTAACCCATGTGTAAAGTAAAAATAATAATAATAATAGTAGTAGTAGTAGTAGTAGTAGTAATAATAATAATAATAATAATAATAATAATAATAATAATAATAATACCTGTTTCATCGCCCAGCAGGATGCTGAAGATGAAAAAAAAATGAAATCTGTGAAAGCTTTGTAAGTGAAAAATGAGGATGCTAAAAGAATTGTCATTAGTTGCTTCAGTCAAGAGAGGCTGAATTGTGCCGTGGTGACAAATAGCAACAATTCAGTGCCTTGAAACAAGGTCTCTCTCTTGCCCCTTCTGGCGAAGCCTACTGCCTGATGGGCAACTCTTAGCGTATTGCTCTTGGATTCATGTTGATGATGAAGTGCGTGACTTGACGGATCCCCTTTCGCTTTCCGGTTGTTCAGTGAGCGCCGCTGGCTGTGTCACGGTAACAGGCGGCTGCTGCCTCGCCCCCCTCCTGCGTCCGATTTCCCTTCCGGAAGTGCATGAGCCATCACCCATTTCATGTTTCCCACGGGACTGGCTCTTCTCCACATCACCAGCTCAGCCAGCAGGGAAAGTCGCAAACAGTCTCCTTGTTTACTCTTTTTCTCTTCTAGAATTCCACTAAGTAGTCAGTTATTCCTAACTGGTCCAAGGAGACTGGTGTCTTTAGGTGACCAAAGGGACATCTAAGGGGATACAGAGTTCAGTGGAAGAGGACTGGGCCGGAGAGCACAATTAGGCAGCCTGAAGTGTGCTACTGAGAAGGAAGGGGACAAAGACTGGCTGCGGGAGTGCATTTAGTTTAGCTTCATTACGGCTGGAGGCTGGAATCTGGGGGAAGAACCAGGGTTGGGTGCTGGGATCCAGGGGGAGGAAGACCACCAAGAAGCACGCTACTCCAGCACGGTGATACTTCCAACCAAGAACAAAGTCAGGAGCCTGGAGCAGCCAGGGCTGAGGGCTGGACTGAGTGGCAGCAACTGAGCGTCCCCGCAAGCGATTGAAGCTGTAGGGCATCGGGGACCCCTAAGACCATCACTGTCATCGAGGCAATCTGCGTTTTTCCGGTTTTTCAGGAGTGATTCCTTTTAGTAAACAAATCCGTTGAGGTCAAACAGAATGCAAACCGCAAGAGGAAAAAGGAGTCTGTACGCATGTGAATGATTCCCACGCATGGAATGTACAACCAAAATGGTGTTTGAAAACCTTGATAGCTTTCTGACCATGATCTGTGGATACCCCTCCATGCAAAGATCAAATAATGGTAGAAACTAAAGGAAACTGTGGTAGCTTTTCTCAGCAGCTGGAGACCAGATAACAGAAGTAACAGCTAACCCTGTACAGCACCTTCTATATGCCAAGTGCTTTTCAGCATTTCACATATATTGGCTTATTTAATCCTCACAACAACCTGTAAGGTAAATGCTGTTATTTCCGTTTAGAAATGAAAAAAAAAAATCCCAGAACGGTTATGTGACTTGCCAGTTAGTGGCAGAGCAGGGATTCAAACCCAGGCAGGCTAGTTACAGAGTCTACACCTTTTGCATCATATGAGGGCAATGGAATATCTTGTCCTGTGTCCCTAGTCATCATTGCCTTTGAAGGGAGGTTGAGCTACCTCCCTGCGGTGATGCTGCTTAAATGACAACTCTCTTCCTTAGGTTCCTCTATGACTTGGCTGACATGGCCAGCAGAACATCCGACAAGGATCAGTGACATGGCTTGCGAGGACACTGGAGCTTCTGGGATCTTGAGTGTTCAGGGAGAAGTTGTGACCGTCTGTTACGGGACCCTTCTTTCCTCCCACCTCTCTGGGTTCTCAGAGGAAGCAGACCATTAGGGCCAGAAGGGCATCTACCATTTTCCTCCCGTAGCAAGTTTCTTCCTGGGTAGGTACCCACCCCACCCCATCTAGGTTCTGGCACTGAAGCATTTTCTCTTTTTTTGTTGAAGAATAGTTGGTTTACAATGTTCTGTTAATTTCTGGTGTACAGCATAGTGATTCAGTTATACATATATGTATTCCTTTTCATATTCTTTTTCATTATTGGCTATTACAAGATATTGAATATAGTTCTCTGTGCTCTACAGTAGGACCTTGTTGTTTATTTTATACATAGTAGTTAGTATCTGCAAATTCTGAACTCCCAATTTATCTCCCTACCGCAAATGTTGTTACTGCGGGTTTCCAGGAACGTATGCTGAATCTAGGATTAGGGCAGATTACATGCTGCCTTGTGTCTATTCTCAGGCTTCTTACTGTTTTCCTTTTCTGAGGTTTCATTCACTCATCTGCAGTCTCAGCTTGCATCACGACCCACTGACGAGAATGTTTTTCATTCTGTAGTACTGTTTTTCTTATTACCCAGACACCCAAACCACTTACCATTCCGGAATTCACCAGAGTTGAGTACCCCTAGCCCTTGGCTAAGCCGCACTGTCCCTGCAGCCCCAGGATCCCTCTCTGCTGCTGGCACTTACAGCCCTTTTGTGAGAGGACCTGCGATTTGTCTCAGACTGGCAGCGTTCAAGATTCCTCCAGCCACTTTCAGAGTAACTCAGTGAGGTTCTGTTTACACAGCTCTCCCTCAAGTCCGGCTCCCTCATGAGAAGTTTTGGCTTTCTGTAGACAGGGATGACATCTCATTTACCTTTATTGCCCCAAATCATACCCAGAACATCTTAGAGGCTCCTCTGTTATTTGAATGCATTGACTGAGTGTTTTGGACACCCTCCTTGAACCTAGATTTAAATGTAAGATGAACTTAGGTTTAAACGTAAGAGATTTCTTCCCATAATAATTGTCCCACGTGTACTCCTTATTGTGTGAAAACAATCCTTTAACTTTTCTAAAAATAAATGGAAGAAAACCTCATTCAGAGATCGTTTAGTGACCATCCACTCCAAAATATGGTAAAATTGTTACCCTGTCTGTCTACTTACCCTGTTCTGGATGTAGTATGTCCTTTCTTACTCTTTCTTTTTCAAGCCAAAGATTCTCTCTTAGCTTGTTTATTTTCATTTTCAGGAAGTAATTTCTTCTTATGTGCTTTTCTCTATTAATAAAAACGAAGAGCTAAATATGGGTTATATTAAAGACATTTGGCCCGTCTATTATTAGGCTGAACTAACAATCCACCCCAGCAGGAAATGGCTTTCCCGCCTCTAAATTCTTGCAACTTGTTGCCTGAACAATTGACTTGGTTCTTTTCATATGCTGCCTGTATTTCTGCACCTGCATGATTTTTTTCCCAAGGAGATAATATTTTGAAAGGCCTCCTGGTCTGGGGCTTAAGCACAAAATAGGCACTTACAAAATATATAGGCTGTGAAAAGAAATGAATGCACGAACGAAGTAGCAAACTTGACAATAAATTTCCTGACAGGAGATGTCTTAAAATGAGCAAGCCCTTCCTAAGAAACTAAACAAAGAGGGTTTCAGTGACAAAGGCGGCAGCACAACCCAGAGGATTTAGCTTTTAAAAATCCTGGATTTATTCAAGATCGGCAGCAGAGGCGTAACGATGATCTTAAACTTGGTGGAGTAATTCTGACTGTTTATGGTTTTTATAGAATGAAAATATTCCTATCCAGTTGACACTGTATGCCTTTCATTTCTTACTCTTTTCACCACACAGTCAGACCTCTACAGATGTTAATTCAGAGATAACTGATGTGTCAGTTACTCCCCTTACAGACTTCGTACACGCAGGCCTGACGTGGAACGGTCTAGTTTTAAACTCTCGCCTGTTCTTCCTTGACATTTCTTCTAAGGTCATCTTTGTAGAGTTACATGTCAGACTGTGAAAGGTGAATTTATGGCACTTGATGTAACAAGTATGATACTGTCTTCCCTCAGTATCCATGGGGCATTGTTCCGGAACCCTGTGCCAATACCAAAATCTGAGGATGCTCCAGGCCCTTTCATAAAATGACTTAGAGCAGCCGGCTCTCAGGGATCCGTGGTTGGCTGAATCCGCGAATTCGGAACCCGCAGAGGGGCGGCTGTACTTTAAAGCTTCATGTCAGTGTGTAGAGAGGTGTAGGTGCAAAAATAGGCAGGAGTTGCAACAAAATGACTTCTGAACGTCTCTCTCCTTGACCTGTTTTGACCAAACTTTATTACTCATTTAATGGCGTCATGACAAAGAGTAGGAATCAAAACACATGGGGATCACAGAGGCTGTTATGTTTATTGTGCAGAACAGACAGTGATAATCCACTAGAGAAATATTTTCAACAAGCAAGCGGTTCAAAGTACAATCATAGACAGCAACTCTACATGAAGAACAAAGTTAGAAGACACTCAAAGAAAACAGGGGGAAAGTCAACTGCAGTTAAACGTCTTGATACTTTTCTCCTGCAAACATACCTAACTTGCAGAAATGGTAGAAAAGTTAAATGTCCAGTCTTACTTAGCCGAGACCAACAACAGCAAAGAACAGTCCTATAAAATTTATCTCCCACAAAAATAAACTATATATATAAAAATTTTATGATGTTCTTACTGTTCCATTGGCCACAAGCTTTTTTTTTTCAGTATGAAAAATGAGGTATACTGGGGCTTAAGAGGTAGTAGTGTGTTTTGATTGTACAACGTATAGGAAACAAAAGAGTAACTTCATCAGAGATGGAAACTGCTGGGTGCTCCGAGTTTGGCCAACAAGAGCAACTGCTGCAGTTTTATGAGCTGGCCAGTGAGGTTTCAAAAGTGCCCAAGCCAAGCTATGGAATGGGACTTTCATTTTTATGAGGCACTGTTTGTTTGCTTATTTAATGCACAGTTAACAGTAAGGTTGAGTTTTAATTCTCTCCATAGCTCCTTTGGTGATTCATAACAGTGAGCGATCTGCCAGTCTCAGAGAGGCATGTGGCCTTTGAAACTACCTCCCTGAAGCGGCTGGAAGAGAGATGGTTTTGAGTTTCATTTGGCATCAGAACTACAAGCCAGACTGACACAAGCGGTCATGAGAAGCTACCTCTTGGCCCAGTTGATAATACCATGTTAAAAAGTCAGCACACTCACTAGGAGAGAAAGGAATAAAAACTCTACATAAGAAGCGTTTAAAATAAATCTGGTTGAGACATATTACAAAAATCACATTTGTGTAAAGTACATGAAAATATTTGTCAAGCATTTTCTCATATTCAACTAATCTTCAAAACACACATTTTTGATTGCATCATGCAAAAGCCGAGCTTGTTGCATCTCACCTACAAAGCTTCAAGTTTCTTTGAAGGTTGGCTTTATGTTCTTTATTCATTTGCAAAAAGTATGTAAAAACATGTTCCTTTCTATCAAAAGCCTTTTACAAAAATAGTTTTGATGCGGGCTAGCTGCAGTCTGAACTATTTCAAACATTGACAAAAATGAAGGCTGCGAGAAACAAGTTCATTCCTTTTGAAGTCTGGAGGTAGGTCTTTGCAAGTCAATTAGTCCATTTCCTTAAACAAGTCATGTGAGGTACAAACTTGGGAGGGTAACATTTAAACATAACAGTCAAATTTTGTGTGATGTGTAGTGTGATGGAGGACAATGATCCTTAAGAACCTAGGAGCGACTCGGTTAACAAAAAACATTCAAGTTAATGTAGAAAATCTAGCAGAGAAGCTGAAACAAGTATTTGTAAAATTTTAATAATAATAAAAAAAACCATAGAAAAATACCTAGCCATGCTGAAACACAGTAAGGAGACTGCTTCTTTCACTGTAATTAAGTGTACAAAAAGGACCGCAGGCGAGCAGCGTCGCCTACCCATCATGTGTTTTTTCTTGCATTGCTTGTGTATAGCAGCATGTAAAAAGTACTAAACTGTAAATTCATTGTAATATTCAGAGGTAGTATTGAGCAGTGGGGATGTATTGCATCTCTGGCTAAAAGTGCAGTTTGAATGAAGAGATGGTGAGCTGAAGTCAAAGTCAAACACCTCAGCCAACCACCCTATGTCAAAATGTATTACTTGAAGTAACACATAAGCTTCATTTGAGGTAAGTGGTATTTAGGTCTTTCACGGAAACTGATACACAATGGAGAGAGAGAGAGACAGAGAGAGACAGAGAGCCTGTGTTTTTGTTGTGGTGGTTCTTTAAACTGTAGTATATCTCTAGCAAAAGAAATTTAGATTTCGCTCCTCCCACCTCATAATCCAGGTGAGTTCATCATGCATTATCCTGTTGGACTTTTTCATTAAATCACAAAGAGGATAATTTTACTTGTCTAGGTTCCTTAAAATGCATTGAGGCTGACAAGTATGATTTATTGCTAAATGGCATTTGGCTCTGTAGGAAGTAGATTCTACCCAGATGAGTGTTCCTGGAAGAAAAAAAAAAAAAAAGAGAGAGAGAAGAAGAAGAAGAAGAAGAAAAAGAGGGCCGTGAGTAAATTTATTACTCCTGCTGATATGTGTGGCATCCATAAATAAAGGAGTTGGCAATCTCAGTTTGCTTCCTTCCCTTTTCGAAAAGTGAACATCACCTTTTCTGGTTTGTTAGCTGGATGAAAGGATACATCAGCATTTCGTCTCATTTAGAAATACAAGTTAAAAAAAAATCATCAAGTAAGTGTCTAGAAGATTATACGAAAAAGAGAGGAGTAGTATCTAGTCCTATCTTTGGTGTTCTAAACAGAAGCTGCGCTACTGGAGCGGGTGGGGGGTGGGGGGTGGCGGGGCAGACAGCGTTCCACACCCGCCTTTCCTAGAGAAATGCCCAACGTCACACACGCGGGTGACATGTTTCTGGTTTGGATGCAGTGCAGTGATTGACTAAACCCGATTCAGAGTTTTTCTCACCCACCCACTCCGGCTTATCAGATCCACAAACTATTAGTAGGTTAAGGAAAAAGAAAACAGTAATTAAAAGTTGCATTGTTAAACTGTGTCCCCTGTGTTTACAGCAGTTTTTCACTAAACCTGGGACTGTGAAGGGATTACAAAGAAGGTGATTAATATAGTCCTTTTTAAGGTTACGTGACTTCTCCCGCCCCACCCCCACCCCTCCCCCACCCCACCCCTCCCCTCAAACCCCAATGAAAGTGGAAAGACCATGGCGATAGAGAGTAAGTGGTCACTGCAGTGTCTTCTCCCTTCAAAAGATTCAACTGCTGCTGAGGTAGAAATTGAATGTTGGCGCTCCCTAATCCTCTTCCGCAGACTCTTGTGAGGATGTCTCTTCAGTCTCCTCCTGGAACACACAAAGGGCACAACCATTACATCGTGTGGCCTGTTCTGACTACACAGTTCAGAGGTGACCTGTTTCCACAGCACATTACGCCGGCTTCAAAAGAGGATGCGGGTGATTGGCAAGTCCCTGGTTCCCAGGGCTTCTTAAACCGTAATTGAGGAATCAAGGTGGTGTCTTTTCCCAGAGCAGTCATTAGGCGCTGTTGACCTAAGGCTTGACATCATGGCGGCTGGTCAGCAAATTCAATTGTCTGCAGTCCAGAGAATGTCAGGCCTGTGTGAGCTTACTCGCCAATTAGAGGGAGAGAGAAATGGGTGAAATTTTCCCGACAACATGCCAGTCAATCAGTTTCAAAAAACCAGCAAATCAAGTGAAGGGGATCCGTCCTTCAAGGTGCAAAGAAAGCTCGACCTGCGGATATCGGTCATAATAGCTGATGCTTTTAGGGTGTTTACTGGGTGCTTTTAGGGACTGGCTGTGGCCATTCCCATTTTACAGGTGAGGAAATCAAGACACGATAAGGCACTTACCCAACCAAAGTGGCAGGGCAAGTAGAGCCAGGCTTTGGGCTGAGCCAGATGGGCGCTGGAACCCGTATGCAACCATAACGCCACCACTGCGAGGGCAGAAGTGAGCCTGAGAAAGGGCTGCAAGAGCTGACTACTCATTTCCTTTCCAAATGGATTTCCTCCTCCTTGTATTTATTAAAGCACATTTTGAGACAATGACCCAAGTTTGGCATGGACTGCTCAATCTCCATAGTAAATCCATAGCGACCAAACATTTAACGGTGGGCTGGCCAAGCAGAGAAAATCTAATATATATGTTTTTTGCGGGACCTCCTCTTCCTATAAATCTAATTCATTCTCTTTCCCTTTTTCTGATTCCGTCTGGCTCTGGAATCTGCTGGGGGTTTCTGCAACCGGCTCGAGCTGCAAAGTTCTCTTTCCTTTTGCTTATTTAACAAATGCGCAGTACCTTTCAGGACATGGGTGGTAAAGCGGAGACAATAAACATTTCTGATAAAAGCGTTCTTCGCGAGAGGATGATTTTTATCAAATGCTGTACATGGTCTCATAAGACGGCATGTGAAAAAGATCTGGGAGAAGAGGTAAACATTTACTCCTGCAGCAAACTTTAAGAATGGCCGGCTTAACACAGCTTATAACAGTCTTCATACTTTAATAGATTTGATTTTCCACATGGCTTCATTTTGTCTGGGTGGCTAACTGACACAATTTATATCTCTCTTCCTTTCCCAGGTCACTACAGTATACCATTCAGTAACGCATGCCTTAAAGCTTGTCTGCATTATATGACCAAACTTCCATTCATTAGTGTTTGAAACACTTCAGCTGTGAAGGAACTCCTAAATGCTACCATGTGTGACGCTTTTGCGAAAAAGCAGCAAACGGGAGGGAAAAAAGCCCACGTGAACGGGCACTCACACGCTCACATGAATGTGCACACACACACACACACACACAAATCTCTCTCTCTCTCACACACACTCTCTATCCTGGGCTTTAATCACAGGCCACTGCTTACTGCAAACGCGTTGCGAAAGGTTTCAAACCTTCTCTTCCCCACCTCAAGACTGAGAGAGCTGTAAATCCTGGGAATAAACACACATACAAATGAATGGATTACAGCTTAAAAAATATAACCACCGCAGCATCAAGTCATGAGATTTCACACTGGTTTTGTTTAGTCTGCTTTGGGTTATGTGGGAAATGTGGAACGGATGAAGCTACCTTCCCTCTGCTCCCAACCCCCAAACTGCGGGCTTCACATATTTAAGCAGCAGGTTTATACCTCTTGATAGGCAACAGGCCATGACCCTGAGATTCTCTATGGAGTCCCGGCCACAAAGGAGGATGTAGCAGGATCAAAGCCACGGATGGACGTGCGAGAGACAAGCCAAGGTTCAGCTGCCCTATGACCTTGTCTTTTCACTTAATATTCAAATTCCAGCAAGTCACTAAGCTGTTCGGTGGATACGCTCTTCATCCGTCCCCCAAGACTCACTTCTCATTATGACTGGAGGTGTGGACACAGGTGACTACCCTGAAACAGACTCAGCATGAAAGCTGGCAGACATATTTTATTCCTCCTTCTCCTGGTTAACAAATTAATGGTACACAGGCAAGCTGGAAACACTTTCCACCCCCAGATCAAGCTATAATTATTCTACGTCTAACTGCTCGATTTTTCTAGACTATCTGGAAACCAAAGTACTTCCGAATCCGGAAGGAAATCGAGTTTTCAGGCTGTGAACTTACAAAGACCTGGAGTAGATGGAATGTGATCAACTTTTCAAAACATTCCCAGAAACTTTGCTTGATTGGAGCCCTTGAAGCTCCCGAGATGAAAGTGGTTTATGCAAATCCCTCAGATACAACTCAGCTGAAAATGACGGTCCCTCGGTCTTGTATTGTTTCCTTTGCTTAGCAGTTCTTAATACAATGTGGAGAGCTGCTTTATTAAGGTATCTTTCCATTGACCTTGAAATGCCTCCAGGAGCTGCCTCTCGGTACTGGGTACATAACTGGGATGTCGGGGGTGGGGAGCCTCATTCTGCCAAACTTTTGGAGGCCATGTGGCTCTCACGTGCTCCGAATGATGGTTTTCTCAAATGTCTGATTCATGGAGTACTCTCTCTTCTAGGCAGAGCCCTGACTGGCCACCCTCCAAAGGAGGGCATGGCTGCCAAGTGGATGATGTTGGCGGGGTGCATGGCACCTCTCATCTCTGCAAACCCCAGTTCTTACCTTTCCAGTGACTTGGCCTTTTGCTACATGTGTGGTTGCTGTGACCAAAGGGTATGGGTAATTAAGAGAAGAAAAATCCTCATAATGTTTTTTTTTGGTTCCACAATTCATTTACTGAATTGGGGCAGGGCAGGTGACTTAAAAGTAGATTGCAAGATAAGGCTGGGAGAGAATAGTTCTTGCTTTCCCTCCTGGGAGCTAGCGGTATTATGATACATGAAGATGGAGTCAGAAAACCCATGTTCAGCTGCCCTAAGTGTCGCATTTGACCAGGCCTCACACAGGGCCCTCCTGTGATGCAAAGAGTGGACAGAACCAGCAATGTAGGGAAGAGGCAGCTGGTTCTGATGTCCCCCAGGAATCTAATTTTCATAGCAGTGTCGTAGGTGGGGACCCCTGAGATTCAGTCCTCCTCAGTAACTTAGAAGACACTGCCCTTTACTGTAGACATTAGCTTGCAACTTGAGATACTTAAATTGCTTCATGTTTGCAACATATGGCAGGATCTTGGAGCTTGGGTAGCCCCCCCAAGAGCAGCTCTGAGGCAAGAAGGAGATTGAAAGACTATAGCCAAGCATTCTACACATCTCATTAGGGGCTGGTTGGCAAGGTGGGAAGGCCAAGGAGCTGCGGTCTGGTTGAAGAGGCTTACTGTTGGAATGGGGCTTCAGGAATGAAGGATAAAAGGACTTTTCAAAGTGAAAGTGCACAGTGACATTTTTATGAGCACCAGCCACGAAGGCCTCTAAACACTGAACAGCCCCCAGCCATTCACTTGGTTACCTTACTTACAAAGACAGCTGAGGCTGCACCACACTGGGGCGAGCTTGAGGATTTTTTGGCAGAAAACTCAAGGGAGGAAAAAGAGAGTGGGCAGAGTTGGAGAACTATATTTTTATTATGAAACTCTTGGAAAACTGCACTCATTTTGCCTCAGTTTTTCTAAAAAAGGGAATTTAATAAGTGTAACTCTGTCATTGCCTTCTTTACACTTGGGGAAAAAAAACCCCACTAAAACCTAGAAATACAGTTTGCACATACCCCTATTCTCTTAATTTGGTTCAGCACCGTGCACATGGCATATGCCTTTGGGTACAGGTCTGCTAACTGAGCTCAAAAGGAGAAAGAAGACATCCCAATAGCCGCTCTGAGCCTCTAATGCTGGATGGAATTTTTCAATGTCTTAAGAGTTTAATCACAGATCTTGTCACTTGGGTGAGGGTGTGCTCTGGAGGAAGATTCAGTACTTAATGCGAGAGCTGAAACTCTGGGTTTAATTTTCAGATGCAGACTAAACAGCAGGTCTGCAGTGGGAAGGAGACCAGTGGATTCCAAATGGAACCGAGAAATGGAAATACTCTCCCTGCAAACTTTAAGAGAGCTGTCACCACGAGGCCCCTCTTTGTGTGTAGGAAGGAGTGCAAAGTCACTGGAGTCCATGTCTACTTTAACACATCCTTGTTTTTTCCCCCTTGGTTGCAAAGAATTCTGCAACTCTTTTATTATAAAAAGCTGCAGGCTACAAATACATTTGTAATTTAAGCCATCTTGCCAAAACAAAAACAAAAACAAACACAAAAACCCCAAAACCCCAGACACACCTGGTAATCTAGAAAGAGTAGTTATAGTTTAATAACATTCTTTTATGTCATCTTAGTATGTTCAGTTCTTTAAGAACTTGGGATGACACACTCAAGAAGGTTTCAAGTTCAAGAACATCTCGAGCAGCCCCATCAGGACAGAAGTAATGGGCTCTCCTCCTCAGCAGCAATCACCAGAAACCAAGTTTGCAAGTACCATCTGCCGTTAAGCGACCCGCAAGACCACAATGCTGTTTTTCTATTTCTCGGTCAGATATTTTTAATTTAAAATGGACTGGGGCTGTTTAACTTAATGGAAAGTGATTATTTCCTCCAACTAGGAAAACTTTATGTCACATTAAAAAAGAACATGTTCAGTGAAACACAGATAAACTCTATCATCTGGTAAGTGTAAGGGATTCTGGCGGAAATGCTAGGAGGGAAGTATGTTTTCCAAAAGGAGGTTTTCTTCGGGTATTTACGGTATTTGTATCTAGTAATCAAAACAATTTTTTTTAGTTTTATGTATATAAAATATACAAGCATCCACACTGAATGTGTTTCATCCACTTCATAAAGCCAGTTCTAAGGTCTTATTGGGGGATGTTTAGAGTAAAGAAGGTTGATCCTGGATGTGATTAACCCCAGG